GAAAGAGTCACTTAGAAAGCAGCTTCTGTCTCTGGATTTAGTTCCTCAAAACTTCTTGCAAGGTTTCAACATTCTAGAGGTCTTGGTAGCCGAAAAGACGCAGAAAACGAATTCCAGGTACTCTTCTCTCATTACTTTCGTTTCCTTGTGTGGATATGCAAGTACTTTATCCTTAGATAGTAATTTCTGTGAGAACTTTTTGGCTCTTAAGGTTGAAAAACATGCACGTTCAGTTGAGTGATCTGTCACATCAAATCAATGAACTCAAGGGGAAAGCATCAATGTACAAGCAACGGTTCGAGAAGAAGTCATGTGACCTCCAAAAGGCCGAGGCTGAGGTGAGTTTTGATTGCGTCCATATCAATAATAATTAACCTAAAAGTAGGCGAAGAGACTGTTGTTGGATTAAGGAATGATATTTATATGGATGTTGAATCGCAGGTTGATCTTCTTGGAGATGAGGTTGAAACACTCTTGGATCTTCTTGAGAAAATATATATAGCTCTCGATCATTACTCTCCAGTTCTAAAGCATTACCCTGGCGTAAGCGCACTCTCTCTCTCTCTACACATTTTCTCTTTGTCCATTTAAGCTTTGTTATTTTTATCTGAGTGAGTACATATGTATTATACTGATGACTCTGCAGATCATTGAGATCTTGAAGCTTGTCAGAAGAGAGCTTAGCGGAGAAGCAAAGAGACAACCAGCAGATTGATGATGCGTCCAATATCTTCCACACTAGTTTATTTCTCATCTTTTGGTGTACAGATCTGTCAGGCTTTATTTAGTACTGTTGATGTTTAGTTTCTACGAGTCCTTTTTTTTTGTTCAGTAGATACTGTTATTGGTTATATACTGTCATCAACTGAAAAATGTGATGTTGGATCATTGGATCTCTTAATCTTATAATACAATTGGATTACACGTCTTCATAATTAACATCCGATCTGCCCATGGATTTGTTATAATGAACAAACAAGTCCCGGTTTGAACTTGAAACTGTTTGTATAAAAAGCAATCTCTAGTCTTGAAATAGTATTTTTACCAGATGTTGGGGTCGGTTTAGATGACTTAACTTAATGCCTCAAACACTCCTTGACACAACTAAGAAACACAGTTTGCGGCTGGAGACATGTTGGCATAATGAAAGCATGCCTTGTTGGCGCAGCGTACGAATGGGTGAACGGTCGATCTAAGAATTTAGGGTTCTTGAGACCTGTTCTTGGATCGATCAAGAGTTTCCGGAGATAGCTTCTTGAGACCAACTTCTTATTTAGATGAATTGAATCAAATCGAAATAAGGTATAAAAGCAAAGCTTATTCTTTATTAAATCAAAAACGTGCCTGAACATTATGTCT